CATCCAGAAGTACGGCATCTCCGAGGAGGGTGAGTGCCCTGGCACAGGCAGCTGGCACCGGGGGGGGGGGGGGGGGGGGGGGGGGGGGGGGGAAATGGGGCTGCCGAGCCTCCACGCAGCCCCCAATCCCTTTCTGCAGAGTCGCTGCACCTCGGCAACCTCATCGTGAAGCACGGCTACATCTACCCGCTCAAAGACCCGCGCAGCCTGGTGCTGCGGGCCGATGAGTCGCCCTACCGCTTCCAGGTACCGCCGCACCGGGGCACGGCACAGCCCAAAGGCCGGGGCTGCCCCGGCTGGGCACCGTGGCACCCCATGGCAGCTCCTCAGCCTCTTCTTCCCCCGCAGACCCCCTATTTCTGGACCAGCACCAAGTGGCCGGCCACGGAGCTGGACTACGGTAGGTGCCGCCGTGCCGCTGGCACCAGCACGGGCTGCGACCCCTCCCAGCGCCTTGAGCGCCGCCGCTTCTCTTGCAGCCATTTACCTGGCCAAGAAGAACATCCGCAAGCAGGGTGATCTGATCGAGCACGAGAAGGTGAGCGGTGCCCTCCTCACAGCTGCGATGTGCTGGGGGAGTCTCGGCTCAGCCAGGAGCGGTGCGCCCCCGTGGCGGGGGACACCGGCTGTCCCTGTGCTGGAGCGGCAGCAGCAGCCGGAGCCAGGCAAGGGGACAGTGCCGCACCGTGCCTACCTGTCACTCCCCAGGACAACTACAACCTCCTGCACAAGCGGATCAACCACACGTGGGACTTCGTGGTGATGCAGGCACGGGAGCAGCTCCGGTGAGTGCGGGCACGGCCGGCACCGCTGCGCCCCGGGGAGCGGCCGGGATGGATGGAGCACCCCTGGGTGCCGGGCAGGCAGGGTGCCAGCACCTCCCCGCTGCCTCTGCACGGCCAGGGCAGCCAAGCAGCGGCGCAAGGGCGACCGCATCGTCATCGACTGCCAGGAACAAGCGTACTGGCTCGTCAACCGGCCCCCGGTGAGCGCGGGGCGGGGGGGCCGGGCTGGAGGTGCAGCCCTGGCACCACTCACAGCCCCGGCCTGAGCAGCGGGGCTGAGGGGTGCAGGGGTTCCCCCCAGCCCCCAGCATGATGCTGTCGTTGCAGCCAGGAGCCCCTAACGTGCTGGAGCAGGGCCCCGAGCGCAGGAACTGCCACACCACCCGTGTCCAGCTGGTGAGTGGGGGTGTCCAGGCACCCCTGGGGCAGCCAGCGGGCACAGGGCACACCCAGTGCCTGTGCCGGGGTGAAGAGCTGCCCCCGTGGGTGCCCATCCATCTCACCCCAGGCTGTGCCCACATTTTGGGGAAAGGGGTGGGCCCCAGTTCTGCTAACATCCATGTGTCCCACACCCCGAGCATGGAGGGTCCGTGTGTTTGTCCTTGCACCCAGCACCCCTCTGTGCCAGCACCTCTGATCCCTGCAGGGGAGCTGTGCTGCATCCTGGGGTGCCAGCAGCAGCCACCAAGCCCTTCCTTGTGTTGTGACCCCACTAATGCTGCCCCAGCACCCCCAGGCTGTCCTCACTAACCACCCACTTTCTCTTCTCTGCGCTGTGCCGTGTCCTCTGCCCACGTAAGTGTCACTAACCTAGCGCTGGTGTCACACTGGGGTGTGGAGGGGGAAGCCAGGGCTCATTCCGTGGGCTGTGCTGGCTGAGCCAGGAGGGCTGGGGGAATGAGGCCAGAGGCCACAGGGATGGGATGCAGAGTCCCGGGGTGGGGACTGGGTGCCTGGATTGTCCAGGGTGGTGGTGGCAGGACAATGTCCTGGTCCCACTGTGCCCTCACCCAGCCCCGTGTGTCTCTTGCAGACCAAGAACATGGATTACTACAAGCGAGAGGTGAGTGGGGAGAGGGGTGGTGGCAGCTCCTGGGGGGCACGAGCTGCCAGGCACCCCAACATCTCCCCTGCGCCTGGCCCCAGATCGAGTACTGCAGGAAGGCCATGGCCAGGACCAGGGTGAAGTCCTCCATCTGCCTTGAGGGGTGAGTGGCAGCAGCTGCCCCAGCCACGGCTGGGTCCCTCTCAGGGTGACAGGGGCACCCACATCCCAGCAGCTGGTGCTGGCACCACTGCACCCCAGCCCTCAGCAGAGGGTGGAGCTGAGGCTCTGCACAGCTTGGGCACATCCCCACCTCATCCCCATCATGTCCCCACGGTGGCTGGGGTTGGTGGCCCTGGTCTCCTCCAGCCACCATTCCTGGCAGGTACGTCAAGTTCAATGAGCAGTATGTGCCCCACGACCCCATCATGTCCGGCTGCCTGCCCAGCAACCCCTGGATCACGGATGACACCACGTACTGGGCCATGAATGCCCCCACGTAAGTGCCCCAGCCCCAGGTGCCCCAGAACCCCAGTCTGCAGGACAGGCTGGTGGGGGCTGTGGGGTCATGCAGGCTCCATAAGCTGCCAGTCCCAATGCCACTGTCACCAACAGAGTGACAACTCCCACAAAGCTGCGCGTGGAGCGCTGGGGCTTCAACTTCAGTGAGCTCATCAACGACCCCCTGGGCCGGGCACAGCTCCTGGAGTTCCTCAAGAAGGAGTTCAGTGGTGAGGGGGCCCAGCCCCAGCCCAGAAACACCTCTGTGTTGGCAGCCCAGACCCACCACTCTGACCCAACACCACCAAACTCACCATGTCCCAGTACTGACTAATCCACTGTCCAATCCCAACACCACCAAACCAACCCACGACCATGTCCTGCCATTCCTCAGCCCAACACCACATCCCAGTACCTCCCAGCTAATCCACCCCAATTTCCCTGGTTCCACTGCCCCAGCTGCCTCTGTCCCACGGGGGCACATGCCCAGCCACGGTGGCCTTTGGGGGTTGCCCATGAGGGGTGCCCAGTGCCGTGTCCCCATTCCCAGCACCATGTCCCCCTCCCCAGCTGAGAACCTGAGCTTCTGGGAGGCATGTGAGGAGCTGCGCTATGGGGAGCAGTCCCGCATCGCCGAGATCGTGGACTCCATCTACCAGTGAGTGCCAGTGGGATCGGGAGGGAAGGTTTGGGGGCGGTCAGGCCGTCACGGGGCCCTGCCCAGGGCGGGCCGGGCTCACCGCCGTCTGTGGCTCCCCAGGCAGTTCCTGGCTCCCGGGGCCACGCGCTGGGTGAACATCGACAGCAAGACGATGGAGCGGACCCTGGAGGGCATCAAGACGCCCCATCGCTACGTGATGGACGATGCCCAGATGCACATCTACATGCTGATGAAGAAGGTGGGTGAGGGCGGGGCTGGGCAGTGCAGGGCTGGGCAGGATCCTGACGTCTCTGCTCGCCCAGGACTCCTACCCACGCTTCCTCAAGTCGGACCTCTACAAGAACCTCCTGGCCGAGGCCATCATTCCCCCGGAGACCAAGAAGCGGTGAGGGCAGGGGACGTCCCGTGGGGCCACCAGGGGTGGTCCCCGCCGGTTCTGACCGCGTTCTACCCGCAGGGTCTTCCCCTTCATGCGCAAACAGCGGCATTCCAGCCCCAGCCCGGCCCTGCTGCTGCCGGCGGGCGATGCCGAGGAGAGGAGCAGGAGCCCTTCCACCGCCCCCGTCCCCGAGGAGGAGAGCTGAGAGCCGCAGCCCCCCGGCAGTACGGGAGCGCCCCGACCCAGCACACCCAGCCCCGCCGCAGGACCCTGCCGGCAGTAGCACTGAAGGAGAGAAGCCATACTCCCCCCAGGCCCCCGGAGCCAGGCTGGCCCCGCCGCAGCCCCCGCTCACGTCCCCACACCCTCCTGTCCCTCGGGGAAGCCGCACCCAGCCGGCCTGGTGCGGGGTCACCCCCTCCTCCCGCCGCCAGCCCGGGCACGACACAGTAAAACTCCCTCGGGAAACACCGGTGGCTCCCGTGGTTTGTGGGGAGGGGGCCAGGGAGGCCTTGGCAGGGTGGGAGGGGCACAAAGCGCTGCCCACTTGTCCGGGCTGGACTGTGAGCTCAGGGCTGGCAGGGACGTCCTCCTCCCACGCCTGCAGAGCCAGCAGTGGAGCAGAGCCGGGACGGACCAGCCCCCCAACACGTGTGCCCATGGCACAGCCAGCACCCACGGATCTGCTTGCTCCGAGGGGCAGCACCAGCCTGGCACGGCTGAGAGGGCACTCAGGCCTTACTGGTGTGCCACCCACACCCTGGGAGGGACAAAAAGGCCTCTGGAATGGGGCTGCCCTGTGGCTGGCAGCTGAGCCACTCTCCTGTCCATGGACTGTTAATCTGAGCAAGGCTGAGGATCTCACGGCAGGATTATTCCCTTCCCGGGAGCACAGCCCCAGCTGCAGAGGATTATCGCTGGTGGTTACATAAAGGAGAGGGGGGCTGATGCCCAGCAGTGCTCAGCCCTGGAACCCAGCCTGCTCCACACGTACCCACAGAGCAGAGCTGGGCACAGCTCCAGCCCCGAAAGGACAAAGAGGTGCCATGCTGTATCCTGGCTAACGAACACCAGGATGCTGGGGATGACATCCTGCCCTGCCGCAGAGCCTGGCACAGAGCAAGGGGCATTCTCAGCTCCGTGCTGGGCAGACAGAGGCCCCTGGGGCAGGGGAAGCTGCTGGAGCCTCGGTCCCAGGATGGAGCTGGGGCCCTCGGTGCTGGCAGCCAGGGGCAGTGACAGATGGTCCCGCGCTGCAGGAGACAGCGCCCGCCACGCGTCTCCCTCCAGCTTGATCCAAATCCAAACCACGGCATGAGATTTTCGTGCTGATGGACTGCAGAGGGAATCTGGGGTGTAAAACCAGGTCACAGAGCCCAGGTGGGGGGCAGGGATGGGCTGGCCCAGCCTCGTTATCTAACTCCAGCCTCTCTCCACATGCTGCCTTTTCCTGGTCCATGACCTGCCTGCAGCAGAACAGGGCAGCAGGCAGCACCTCAGCCATCAAAGCATCACCAGGACTCCTGGATCCCTCCCAAGGAGGGGGGTTCTGCCTTGGGGAGGTCACTCAAAGGGCTGTCAAAAAATCCCAAAGTCTTGTGTAACCTGCAACATCAAAGCAGGGCACCATTTACAAACAATGCAAAAGAGGATTTATTGAAACCATTCCGGTTAGAGCAAGTCCTGTACGGCACAATTTGCAATAAGTTAAAGAACCAAACCAAACAGTCTCAGTGTTAAAAACCACACTAACACATAACACAGTGATATAGCCATTGCCACCCAGATGAGTTATTGAATCAAGGCACAAAGTCATTCATCAAATACTGCAAAAGAACAATTACACAGGAAACAAGCTGGAAACAGACTGGTTTTGTCAAGAAGGTGCTGGTTTGGCACTGATGCGTTTAATTGAGCTGCCACGGCGAAATCTGCTTTTCCAAACTGTCCAGAAACATTACTGGACAACTTAAAGCCAGGAAAGCTCCTCAAAGCTGAAAATCCAGCTCTCCTCCAGGAACATTCAGTGTGCCTGTGGGAAGGTCATGTCTTGGTAGGGATCTGAGGAGGGAGAGTGTCATGAGAACACAGCCCAGGCATTCCCCTTGCTCCCAGCCAGGGGAATCTCAGCAGGAAACAATCCACACCCAGCACTCAGGCTGGGCTCCAGTGCAAGCCCGGGGTCCCCTGCCCTGTGCCCTGTGTCCCAGCTGGCTGAAGGGCTGCCTCAATCCAGCCCTCTTATGGCTGCAACACTGGCACAGAGACCTGGGCAGCTGTCAGGCCTAAGGTGCTGAGCAAAGAGGAAACCCAAGCTGGGGGACACAGCTGGGGAACCTCCCTGCACTCCTGGACTCCCTCAGAAAACAGCTGGGAAGAGAGGCAGAGGGGCAACACAATCATTTTGAGCCCAGGGTGCTTTTGAAGGTTGTGGAGCACTCTGCAGAGAGCATCACTGCCTTCCAGCACAGCTGGACACCCCAGGACTGGCTCCCCTGACTGCCCAGGATACGGGACAGAGGGAGACAGAGCACCCTTCAGGCAGCCACTGGTCAGCTGGAAGCAGGAGGTGTCCAGGCAGCCCAGCTCCCTGTGCTGTCAGCCTGGCAGGGCTGGGGCTGTGGCGTGAGCTGGTGACAGCAGCAGCCCAGTGGCACATTCGGGCTCAGCAGTGGCTGAAGGGAAGAACTGGTGCCTGATGCTGCACATTCCCATCCTACAGTGTTTCTACACATCCCCCAGTGTCAGACTCAGCAAGGGAGGGAGGCACTGGCCAACGCCCCTCCAGCACTGCAGAGCTTGAGAGAGATTATTTTTAGGCCTAGTTTTTATTTTCAGGACTGAGTAGCTGGTTCAAACTGTTTTCAAGGCTCTGCACCTTTTTTCTACAGCCTGCACTGGCACCCATCAGGACAGGGCAGAGCAAACACCTCACGGTGCTACAAGGATCTCGAGGAGAAACATGTCATCTTCACACAGCAACCTGTCCCATCCCCTTGGGATACCAGGCTGGGCAGAGAGCTCGAGGATCCTCACTCAGCATCACTTCAATTCCAAGGGCAGGGAGGCAGCACAGAGCTCCTGCCCACCCCTGGCAACAGGGACAGTGCTTGGAGAAGGCTCCTCAGCAGCTGCAAGGCTGAATGAGGAGGGTGCTAGCACTGCCACTTGGGTACAGGGCTTCCCAGAGCAGCAATCCCAGCTCCCAGAAAAGGTTCAAGTGCAATTCTACTCAACCTAGATCCTCTGGTTCCTTACACCTGGAGAGGTGGTGGTGGCACCTCCAGGGACCAGCCAGCCTGGCCTCAGGGTGGATCTCTCACCATCTATAAGCAGGCTGAGGGAAGGCAGGAACATTGATGCATCCATCAGGTGGGAGACCAGCTCCCTCTCAGTGCCACCAACACTGCACAGCCTGGCTGGGAAGGCAGCAGCAGAGAACACAGACACAGGCAGGCTGGTGACTGCAGAGTAGGACACATGGGGGTGTTCTGGGGAGAAAAGGCCATTTGCTAAGTAGAACGACACTTTAACCTGTGCTTTGCTGGCCCAAGTGACACCAGACACACCACAGCCATAGCTGTGGACACCACACACCCCCCCACTACTGAAGCATGGCCCAAATCCAGGAAAGGGTAATTGCAAATCAACTTGCAGCCAAGCACCTCTCCCCAGCCAGGAGAGCTGACTCAGAAAGGAAATCTAACATCACACAGCAAACTCCACTTCCCAGACATCCAACTCCACTTCTCAGCCATCCCAGAAATCATCAATTCTGGCACCTCAGCAAGCACATGTTTTCCTCCAGACACACTCCTGAGTCAGCACAGTTCTGTGGGCACAGAGGGATGGAGGGGAAAGCCCTCCTCCCTGAGCTGATGACACTTCAGTGGTGGCCAAGCACTGAAGTCCCATCAGCTCTGAGGACGGACACTCTGGCAGCTGCCCCCACAGCCTGGGTGTCCCTAGACACTGGGGGTGCTTCCCTGCCAGCCACACTTTGGTTTGTGGATCAAGAAAGGCAGCTTCCCATGGGAATGCAGGCTCTGGGCTTGTTGAGACAACGGCTGCAGAGCAGGGCAGCCTCTCCCCATTCCCCGTTCAGCTCAATCTCGGCTCTGGAATCGCATCCTGTAGAGGCGGTCACGGATGTGCTGCTCCTCATCCCCGGGCGTGCGGCGCAGCCAGATCACCCTGCTCAGTGCCACATCCTCCTTCAGCTTCCTCTTCATCAGGGACAGGGGGCCTGGCCCCTCGCCGGGCTGGGGGCCCCGCAGCAGCAGATAGCAGGCGTGACGGCTCCGCTCGAACAGCGCCGCTGCAACACGGAGCACACGCAGATGCAGCCTCAGCCTTGTGTGCCTGGACTGCCACCACCCAGCACCTGGACTGCCACCACCCACAGGGGCCAGGAGGGACCAGTGTCCTCCTGCACTGGGCTGCAAGGAGAGGACTCACCACTGAACGCAATGATTTGGTCGGTGCTGTTGCGAAGCTCCAACAGGACATTAGTGTAGGAAGGATGGAAAAGGTACAGCTTCTGGAGAGGAGTTCGGGGTCTCTGCAACCAACAGGACACTATCAGGACACAGACTCACAAGTTATCCCAGAGACAACAGCAGTACCAGGCTCAGCTATTACTCACACTCGACAGGATACACCCAGCCAGACACTCGCCCGTGTCAGCCCGGCTCAGCCTGACCGATGCCATTAGGACAAGTGCTGGGATTTTGCTTACTGCTCTCCTCCCCACCCCAAGCTTCCTGCAGATAGCTGGCCTGTCTGCTGCAGGCAGGAGACAGATTTTTGCCTCAGAGCTGGCAGAGCAAGCAAGGAAAGCAGAGGAAGTTCAGCTGGTGCTTCAGCAGCCTCTGAGACACAAACTGTCACCAGTGCTGCCTGTCACTGCCCTGAGGACTCTGCAAGCAGCTGAGCTGTGCACCGAGGCTGCCTGAGGCTGCCTGGGGCACAGAGAGGATATTTACATGGCCACAGAGATCACTGCATGCAATGCTGCCATGGGAAGCTCCCAGAAAAACAGCAGCAACTCCAGAGATGCCAGGCCAGAAGCCTCCCACCTCACCTACAGTGCCACACCAAGGCAGGGCAGTGACTTTGCTCACAGAGCCACCAATTTAATTTTCTCTACTTAACCAGGCTGAGGATGACAAAAGCTGCCAGTGCCACCACCACCTGCAGGGACACGGCTGTGGACACGGAGCCCACAGCCAGTGCATGAGGCTGCAGTGTCAGTGGCACAGACAGATGGGAATATCAGCACTGTGACAAGGGGGTAACTCCACCCAGCTCTGGCCCAAAGCCTGGAGAAGAGCAGCCCTCAGCAGCAGCACTCACTGTCTCATTGCCTGGCTCCTGGTAGTCTCCCCACACGAGGAAGGCAGAGCGGTGATCCGCAGTGGGAAGTGTGGCTGGGCCGGGGCTCCCTGATCCTGAGTTCAGCTTCAGCTCCCACTGGACTGCTCCAGATTCACTCTCAACAATCATAACCTAACAGGGAAGAAAGAAAAGGAACTCACGACAAAGGCAACTCACAAGCCATGAGAGAGAAGTCAGGTCAGCTGCCTCTCCTCACACTGTCTATGGGAACAAGTATGTGACACATGGGAAGATGAGGAAATATTTGAAGCAGAGCATCACAGAGATGTGAGACCTGGGGTTGGCCATGTTAGAGTAAAATCACAAGTTTTACAGCTACTTCAAGGGATTCAAAGTTCTGTCATTGAAGCCTCTTGCTGAGAAGAGAATTAAAGTGCCTGAGCTGGCTTCAATAACCTGTTGAAAGAGATCCTTTCACAGCTTAAAGCTTCCTAAAATCAGCCAGAGGGAACACATCCCACCAACTGTCCTTGGCTCAATTCCTGCTTGAGCTGTGACATACAGAAAAATGGGAAGTTAAAAGGAAGAAATTTCAAACCTTCTTCCTATTGGGTCCAATCTCACTCTCCAGGACAATACCATGGGCATCAGGTTTGTAGTAACCGAGCAGCGGCTCACTGAGGGAGAGAAAGAGCAGATCTGAACCCCCCCTGATGGCTGGGCACAGTTTGCTTTCCCAGTTGCCTCTATCCTCCCACACCTGCCCTGGTAAGAGATTTGACTGCATAAAATTGGGTTGGCCTGATACCACCCCAACTCTGAGCCCAGCCACATCACAGCAGGCACAAAATGAGAAGCAAAGCTCTGAGCTCCTCCATCCTGAAGCAGCTCCCAGCATTTGAGGGGACACAACACAATAAGCAAGATCAAGATATGAACCAGGCAAAGAAAGAATTTCATCTGCCAGGACATTGCTGTTGCTGGGAACCTGGAAATGCCACACCTAGCCCACAGTGAGAACACTACCTCAAAACACGGGACACATTGAGGGTCCACACAGCGTGGAGATCTTTTGTGTTGATCAGTGTAGCCACCTCCGAGTCCACAACCAAGATGTTGTCCCGTGAGTGCCCAGGAACTGTTGCCAGGTAGTGAATGTCTTCAAATCTGAACAAGGACAGAGAAATTATTAAGCTTTTTAGGCCATGGATGGTTTTACTGTGAAGTTTGGAGTTTTTTTCTCTGCACAGTAAATCCAAACAAGAAACCTCAACATGTTTTCTCTTCTTTTCTGTGAATCCCTGATGAAGCCATTAACACCAACCCTTGTCCTGAACTTTGGTTGTGCTCCTAGTCCAAAAACCACATAGGCAGGAGAGAACAAAGTCCCACCGGGCCATCCTGTCAGGAACCCCCCACTCCACCAGCCTCCAAGACATAACCTCACACCTGAGAAGGGATAAGAGGTGCGTGGCACGGTCAATGTGCTTCTCCCAGTGAGAATCCGGCTGGAAGTTGGGAAGCTTAACTTCCTCCCCAACTACTGTACTGCACAGATCTTCCAGGGAATATGCATAGAGAGAATTCTCTGTGAAAAAAAAAAAAAAAAAAAAAAAAAAAAAAAAAAAAAAAAAAAAAAAAAAAAAAAAAAAAAGGCAAGAATGAAGAATGAGAGAGATAAGTTATCCTGCCCTTGCTCTGAACTCTATGATTTTCCAGATCTGTCAGATCAACTGTATTTTCAGGGCTTGCATCATAGAGTTGTAGTGGTATTTTGAGACTCAAGCCTGCTATTGAATGCTTTTAACATTTTATCTGTTCATAATCCAAGTGTTCCACAGTAATCATTTGCTATAAATGACTGCCTAATCCTTTCATGCTTGACATTTGTTGAATAAAATCACTACAGCACATAACAAACTGCAGTTTAAGCAGAAGCCCCCCCTTCTCTTTGCTCTGAACAGCTCTGACTAGGTGAAAGCTCCACACAGCTTGTAAGAATGCAAAACACACTCTCAGATGATGTTTACTAACCCTGATCTCAGCTACAAACACTCTTTCACACTGAATTCCCAAGCAGAGCTGTACCTGTGTAGAAAAGGAAGTAGGAGGAGGAGTGCAGCTGCAGCCTGACGTAGCGAGCGATGCCATCTACCCTCAGGCTGCCCGTGGAGCCAATCTGCTGGCCAGTTTTTCCTGAACAGATGAAGACCTTCACCTGCACAGGGAAGGGATTACAGACAACAACCAACAAGGTTAAAGCTGGTACCAAACAGCAACTGAATGGGAGCAGCACAGGCTTGGATGGGAAGTCTCTCCCTGGTTTTGGAGGAGTGGGCATGAGTTTGGTGACACCTCTGCCCTGAATTCTTCTGGAAGTTTGAAAACCACTTCCAGCATAGCCACCTGCTCTGAGAATTTGCTACCTCTGTCACCCACCCTCCTTACAGACTGGGACTGTGGAACAGCAGCCCCAACTCTGTAAGGACAGCAAAGATCCATGCAAACCTAAGAGGGAGATGACCTAATGTCAGTAACAATGCAGCACATGGACATGGGAAACTTGGCTTCACAGGGCAGCTCTGCTAAATGTTTTAAGTGCCCTAATCTACTCCTCCTTAGGCTCATGTGAGCCCAAGAAGATAAAAGAGCTGATAGGTTTCTTTCCTTCTACCTTTGTGCAGGGTAACAAAATCCACTAAAAACATTTCACCCAGGAGAATAAAGGTTAAAGTCAGGATCAGATTTAAATGTCTGAGCAACAGTCAGAGTCTAGGGAGTGCAACAGACTTTAGGGACAAGTGAAACATCTGACCAGCAGAAACAGCACCCATCAGAGATGCTGACTCAGGCAGGAACCCTTCCCTCTACCTTGAGAGGGAGGGACTGGAAAGCAAAGGAAATCCAAAGTAAATCTGGAGAGTCTGGCAGGTGAAAAAGGGAGAATGAGAACACAGCTGGAGAGGGAGAACAACATATCCACCAGCTATTCCCAGCCTCCTGCACTGGGAGGAGACACACACCGGCTCTGGTAGACCAGCTGCACCTTTACTGGTCCAGTGGCTGCCCTGGGACAGTGACAGCCAGGGGTATTTACACAGGGAGGGAGAAACACAACATTTTCCTCGCTGCACTGCCAACCCCTCTGTGTTACCACAGCAGATGGATCCCAAAAACCATCACATTTTCTGGGATGTGCTTGTGCTGAAGCTTGCAGCAGGAAGGGGTCAATGGGACTCTCTGGAAACGCTGCCATGTAACCCCTTGCACACAGACCCTTCCACAAACTGCTCACAGCTCTCTCCTTTCAGCTGCAGCCCTTGATAGCACCAAAGCTCCTCTACTTGAGTGCTGAATCTCCATTCTGACCAGCCCTTTCCAAGCTGCAGAGCTCCACCCCAGCTCCTACATTTGCGTGATTCTCAAAAGAGAACATACTTTTTCTTAAGTTGGGAAAGTGCTTGCCAAATCCAGAGGGAGGAAGGGATTTCATACCAAGATAGCAAGAGAGCTAAAATGGAAAACAGATCAAAAGGCGGTCTGGCAGAACAGAGGCTACATTCAAACTTTTCTTGGCCATCTAAGATTAAAAAAACAAAAGTCTTGAGATAACTGGGATAGCGAAAGCAAGGAGGAAAGAAAACAGAGAGAACTGTAGGAGGTGGAGAAGACAGAATTTCTGATGACTGTGGCAACAACAATGCCTTGGACAGCAAAACCCTATTTTCTTAAGGAGGATATTGGCCAAGAAGACCAACGTCACCTGGCTTGCACCAGCCACAGGGTGGCCAGCAGGGCCAAGGAAGTGTTTGTGCCCTTGTACTGGGCATTGGTGAGGCCACACCTTGACTGCTGTGCCCAGTTCTGGACCCCTCGATTCCAAAAGGACACTGAGCTGCTGCAGCAGGTCCAGGGAAGGGAACAGAGCAGGGGAAGGGTCTGGAGCACATGTCCTGTGAGGTGGAATTGAGGGAGCTGTGGGGGGCTCATCCTGGAGAAAAGGAGACTCGGTGGGGACCTTCTCACTCTCCTTAACTTCCTGACAGGAGGGGGAAGCCAGGTGGGAGTCAGGCTCTGCTCCCAGGGAAAAAGGGACAGGACAAAAGGGAATGGCCTCAAGCTGTGACATGAGATGTTCAGGTTGGCCACCAGGAGGAATTTCTTCCCAGAAAGGGCTGTTAAACATTGGAAGAGGCAGCCCAGTGAGGTGGTGGAGTCACCATTGTGGGAGGTGTCCCAGGAAAGCCTGGACGTGGCACTCAGGGCTCTGGGCTGGTGACAAGGCAGGGATCAGTCACCGGTTGGACTCAATGATCTCAGAGGTCTTTTCCAACCTTAATGACTCCATGGCTCTGGAATGAGGACCTGGGGCTCCCACTGCTCCTATCAGACCCAGAGGAGCTGTAACTTGTGTGCTTTGAACAGGACAGAATGGGCATGCAGACAATGCTGTGCCACTCCACCACAGATGCAGATGTTTTAGCAGAAAAACTGTTCTAGCTACATGACTTTCCCCCTCTCAGAAATGGGAGAAGCAATACTTGGAGGGAGATAACACCACCAGCAGCTGTTTCACTAAATGAATTCAGATCAGAATTAACCAGCACAGTGACACTGGGAAGAGCAGTGCAAAGCAGACCACAGGCAGAGAGAGGGAAGGGATCAGAAAAGGGCAGTGCTGGTACAAAAGCACTGACTGTCAGCTGTGCTTTGATCTAAGAGCCAAAGCTGTCAAGATTTGTTCACTTCCACTTCTCTAAGCAGAGAAGCAGAAAACTGCAAGCTCATCTTGCCCCAGCTCACTCCCCAGACAGCACAGGAACATGCAGTGAGGAGAGCACATTGAAAAGGGGGAGGGATTACTGCCCAGCTCTTTGATTTATTTCATTTTTTTAAACCATAAAACACTTGTGCTGATTTGGGAGTACATCTCTGGAGGGTGGGAAAGAACCCACCCCAAACCCACAGAAACCAGAGGCCTCTGGACACTTCCTCTGAGACTACAAGGTGGAAATAAACAGCATTCCTGCCATCCTCTGTGGCAGCCACTGGGCTTATGAGAGCTTCAGGATGACATACCTGGCCTGTTTTAGTAATAAAGATTATCAGGTCCTGAACTCCATCATCATCCACATCTGGAATCACTGATAAAGGAGTCAGCACAGTATAATTAGCTCCAAAGTCACGGGATTGCCTCCACAGAACTTCCCCTGGAACACAGTGGGAAACAGTCATTAGAAGGCTTCTTAGGTTGAAAGGTTATTAATGCTCCTGTTCCAGCCCATCAGGACCACAAACCAGCAACATTTATGCTGATCATGGAGTACTTCCTTGCTTTTCTGCATTCCCAATGAATCCCAGTATCCACAGTTTCATCTTACATTGGAAAGCAAGCCTAGCTGCCTGCAGGAATGCACCCAAACACCCTGAACAGCTTGCTTCCCTTGTGCCTTTGGTTAACAAGCTTCCCAGCATGTTCATGGCATGGAGAAGCCTTTACTGTGATCTAAATTCCTGCTGCTGTGCACTTAAATATGCACAGACATTTTGAGACCATAAAGCAGCTGAATTCTGACCAGTGCTGCTGCAACTCCTGGCAGAACCTTCTTTGCTGCAACTTGCCTCCTGCAGATGTTCCTGCAGATGTTTCCTCACTGACATGACCAGCCACAGCTCAGACCACATCCCACCTCTCCCTTGTTTGAAGAACACACACACCCCAAACTTGTTTGTAAACTGAGGTAACAAAGCTCTGCTTTTTAAAAAAAAACAGGGGGTGGCTGGTGTGGGCTTCTCTTCAACAGCTCCAGACCAGCTGAGTGGCTCTATCCATCCATTGTCCATGGCTGTGGGCTACTTTGTGGAATCTGCAGTGGAATCTGGCAGGGAGGACACTGCTGGGGGGGTTTTCTTTCTAATGAACACTTCAGTGTCTGATTAGGTGCTCCCAGGGCAAATGTTTACCCTCCCCTTTATCCAGCATCACACACAGTAATTATCATTTCAGGAATGCAAAGTAATCATCTGTTCTTTGTCAGGAAGGCAGCTGGACTGAAAGCCAAGGAATTACTACTTGATGCCATCTGCAATAATTTCAGGCAGGCTGTATTTCTAGTAGAAATGCTTCAAAGCTTTTACTGCAAAGCTGAAAAAACCACTTGGATTTGTTACTATGACAACAGATGTGAAGTGAAGAGAGCAGATTTCCTAGTTTCCTTAGGAAATCATGGGAAGGCAAAGAATTTTGCCCTCGAAGAAAATAAGCAGGCAGAGGAAGAAGAGAAGTTTTAAATTACCACATTCTAGCTTCAGGACTGTTCAAAGGTAAAGAGTAAGACCAGGCTAATGAAATTCACTTGTCAGTGAATTTCTAGGCTCTAATTTTCCAGGCTCTAATCTTTTGTAGTTAGACAGCTGACAGAGTTTGGGAGAAAATATCTTATTCTCTTAAAAGAACAGTCTGAGTTAAGAGAAACAGGTGACACTGAGCTGGATTCAACACCAAGCACTTGAGAAGTTTTCCACGCTCTAACCCAGCCCAGAGAGAGCACAGAAAGCAGCCCTCTCCTGCTCCCTCAGCAGGAGATGGGACTGTCATGTCTGACATCTGCAGTGCCACGGCGCTTCCTCAGAGCCCGGGGTCACAGCAAGAGGAGCCGAGATGGAAATCAGGCAAGTGCCTAGACTGCAAATCTAACCTGGGTGAAAGGTTGGATTTTTTTGGTCTGGAAGGAATAATAAAATCAGAACTCAGAAGACTGAGCTCAGCTCTCACTTCAAGCAGACGCAGAGGACACAGAAACTTTTCTCCCTGTCAGATGTTCTCCAGGTTGGAGTTCTGGTTTATTTATTTAGTGATTTCTCACACAGAAGCAGTTCCATCATCTGATCATCATGGTGCCCTTTCTGCTCAATCCCCCAGGAGACCAGAACCACCCACAGGGCTCACTGTTCAGGCTGCTGGAGGATCGGATGAAGAGAGAAGGTGTAACAAAACTCTTACTCCTGTCCTCTTTCTAGAGACTCTGCCTCAGGCTAAGGCAGAGATGGAATAATGCACAGCTACAAAGACTTTTGCTTTGACCTGGAACAGTTAATCTTAAGCTCCTGTGTGTCCCAGTTTGCTGGCAAGATAAACACATAGGAATGTTAGATGTCCCACACAAACAGGAGCATGCACCCCTACGCTTCCCTTCCTGCCCACTCTGGTCACTCCTTGTGGCAATGAAGAAAGCAGGACTTAACACAACTTCAACTGATAAAAAACAACTTTATCAGCATTTAAAGATCAAAACCACATCAGACACATTCAATGATAATCTGCCTATCTCTCCTTCAATCTTCCTACAGGCAGGGGCTAGACAGCCTGAGAGCCCTGGAATCTCACCAAATCCTCCACGATGATGAATCATTAACAGCTAAAGATTGTGCTGGCTACTGTTTTTAGCACACTGTGATGTAAGTTAGACTTTGCCTCTTTGAATACATTTAGCCTATTTAAATACATTTTATTCTGCTCTGCCCTCCTAACCCCCAGTCAGCTAAACTCAGAAACCATTTTTAACCTACTTAATAGCAAAAAGGCATTAAATACATAAACTCCTGGCTTATTCACTTCTCTGTCTGATGCATTTTTTCCTCTCTTGCTTTGAAGTTATCTATGGAATGTTTTCTTCACTGTATTGCTGTGACCTGTAGCTTAGCCTGGCTCCTTCTCTCCACACTTGCCTTTATGGCTGTCTTTAGTTACAAGCCTTTGGCTCCACAGCCAACTTTCTACACTTTGACCTGAAAGTAACTACTTCATTAATAGTCTAAAAATAACCTGCGCTAAAGCCTGCACATGAGGGAAATGGTGATAAGAGGTCTCTGCTGGTACAGAAACTTTCTAGCTCTGTGTGTATCTACACTTCCATCTATACACTAGAAATTAAAAGCTACACCTGATTTTCCTCAGATTCCTTAGATCTGTACCTCTTGCTATTTCTTTTTTCCAATTTTTGGAAAACAGGGTGTGAGGGGTTTAATACCAGATACAAAGGATGGGATCCTAGGAAGAACATATATTGTTTAGACCTTTGAAACAATGGCCTCCAAAATGGAAATGTATTTTAGGCTTCACCAGCAAGGAGGGTTCAAGGTGCAGCAGATGATCACTGTTCCTAAAGTAGTACAGGCACTCCTTACCCCCACCCACGTTAGGCAAGATGACGATGATGAATTTCTCCACCTCTAAGTTTAGAAAGGAAGAAACCTTTCCAGAGGAACTAGGCAGAATCGTAGACTACTGAAACAGACTGGCAAGCACTTATCCTAAGTGCTCTCCTTGACAACTTTAAAATCATAAATGCCTAGAACTCCCACTCCTCCTGCCACAGCAGGCACTCCTGGCACGCACACACAAGTAACTGGGAAACGTTGCAGGTGCAGGTTTGTGTCTAACCCTGGGAGTATAAAGTAACACAGCTAGTGACTGCTCCTCCTGTTTCAAAAGCTGTTGGAACCTGGTCTTATGAAACAGTGGCTGGCACAAACCCCCACCAAACCTTTGGAACAGCGAGGCTGAGAGCACGAGCTCCTCAACGCCCAGCAAGCGGCCCTGGCAAGGCTTCCCAGATAATAAATACCCCGTGCCCATTGTTCATGTACCAGCCAGTCACGTCACACTGACGTCCCCCCTGGGGCCACCAGGCGAGGAAAGCAAGCGGCCCATCCCCTGTGTGGCAGCAGGGCTCTGCAGGCACTCACCTGTGCTCAGGCTGACGGCTGTAAGGGACAGTGGCTTCTCCACCACGAGGCAGCCCGGGGCTGCTGCCGTGCCCAGCTGCTGGATGCCACACTGCAGCCACTGCACGTCCTCTGCAGCAGGGCTCTCCCAGAGCACGCTGCCATTCGTGCCAGACACCGCAGCGAGGAAGGCACAGGGAGACGGCAGCCCTGGGGACAAGAGGGATCAGAGGGAGCTGTCCCTGCAGCCATCTTTGCTGCCCTGCAGCACCCAGGACTCACCTGGGACTCACCCAGCTCCTCTCCCCACCCAGCTTTCTCTCCCAGTCACTAACTGGAACTGGAAGAGAAAGGACAGCCCTCACTAGAAGGTGTTTTTGGATCAGGTACCTTCATCCACACAGGACATGTTGAATCTGCTGCTGCCATTGCTGGATTTGAAAGCAAAGAGCACATCTTGTACTTTGTCTTCATTCATGTCTTCTATAGCAAGGAACGGGTAGGGCTCTGCAAGAGAACACGAGCCAGGCTCTGGTGAGGATTTCCTTAGCCCACAGCAGAGAAAGTTGGAGCAAAACACAAATTCCTAGAGACCTACTCACTGCCTCCATCCTGGACAGTGTAACATCAGGACAAATTGCCTTTTATATTAAAAAAGTCACATACACAAGTACCAAGGACAGGAAGTTAGTGCCAAACAATTTTTTCAATTTGCTACTCCCCAGAGGATGTCTTTTTTAAGAGGCAAGCAGCCAGAATTTGAACTATGCTGAACAAAGAACAACTGTGATCTTGGAGTAGGGCTGCTATTCTCAAGGTATAAAGAAGCCCCAGCCAAGCCCCACAAAACCCAGATACTCCATCTTCCTATCAGCCGAAAGCAGTTTTCCTGAGCTCAGAGTAGCAGCACCTGGGGTGTCTGCAGCACCACACGCAGCTCAGCCCCTGCTGTGAGCACTATCTCTGCATTTACAGCACATCCAGCACAACCTACTGCACACAAGATTAAAGAAAAGCTATCCCAGAAGTGACTGCCGAGCCACTGGGGAGCAGGACCCAGTCTGAAGAGCCAAGTAAAGCATCAGGATAAAAATAGCTATAATAACTACAGAGCAATTTATTAAAAAAACAAGATGGAATTATTCTTCTTCCCTTCCTGTTGGCCATGGGGAAAAGGGAGAAAGTCAAAGTGACAGAGGAAAAAATGCCTAATTGCCTCCAACCTCAGCTTGAACTCCAAAGGAACATTTTAAAGAGCAAGCTTCAACAGAGGTTTATTCCCAGATACCTTTTTTTTTGTTTGTTTGTTTGGGTTTTTTTTTTTTTTTGGTTTGTTTGTTTTTTTGGTTTTTTTTTTGTTTTGTTTCTGGTGGTAGAGGCCAGCCTGCTACCTTGTTACCACTTCAGAGCAGCATCTAATTTCTCCACTAGATCCTGTAAACACCTCCTGGAAGGCCACTCCAATTATGCTGGGCCATTGCTTATCCAGGTCAGGTATTCACAGCTCTGGCTCCCAAGGGCTGCATCCCTGCAGGTCTGGCTCCACGCTGTGCTTAGGTAGAAGCCCACAACCCAAATCCATGACACAGAAAGGAAAAGGACTCTTGGTAAGTATTTATTCTGCTGCAGCAAGCTCACCTGCGTTGTTGTAGTATTGGAACCATGTTCTTTCTGAAACTGGCCTCTCTGGGCAGGGAATGATAAAGGAGAAAGCAAACACAATGATCAGGCAGAGGAACAGGGAGATGAAGAAGGCAGCAGTGCGCCACCGGGACAGCCGGGACAGCCCCGAGGACTTGATAATCCTCCTCTCCACGTAGTTTTCATGGTTCTCCTGAGCTTTTACATCCTCAGTCTTCAGAGGGTGGATCTCAGCTTCTGAGTCCTTGTTATCCATCACAGCCCATTCATTGGTATTCAGACACCCTCCTCCTCCTTCACCTGCAACAATGGAAAAATAAGTTAAAATACATTTTGAAATATATTTTAAAAACACAAATTAAAATGTTCTGTTATTACCTGATATTCACACTGGAAACATTTAATGAGAGGTGAGCAAACCAGTGTATTGTCACAGAGCTGGGTACAACACACTGCTGGTGCTGGAGGTCTCCCACACAGAGTTCAGGGAATGCAGGAACAGCACTAATTCTTCCCCAGAGGAGGAAATCAGCTCTGCTGGAGCTGCACAAAGAAGGCTACAGACCCCACGCAGAAAGGACTGACTGGTCTGCAGGTCTCCCTCAAGAAAAACACCCCAAAAGCTCCTTTTGTTGCAAAGACTTGTTGCCACCTCCCATGTCTGTCAGCCTGGCTCCCAGCTGGAGAGGTGAAAGGAAACACTTGTGACCTTTATATCCCAACATAAGGCTGTTCTCCACTGTAAACGTGCACTTGAGCTTCCCCAGGAGAGAGAAACAAACACCAGAGTATTCTGTATAGGAGCAAACCAAACCTTCAACACCTGCTGACATGAGAAACCACTGGGTAAGTTCAGCAACCCAGCCCTGCAGAAGGCAGGATGCAGAAGGCAGCCCTGCAGAAAAAGTAGTGATGACTTCCCTCCCCAGAGAAAAACAAGGCAGGAGCTGAGACTAAAATCAGGCAAATCTGATTTCATCAGAGTGGAAGAGTTACCAGCTGCTGTTTTAGCTTCTCCTGCTACAAATCATAACCTTGGGCTACAACTACAATAAGCAGAGGGGTTCTGTGCTAATTTGCTACAGAAAGGGGGAGAAAGAGCCCTAGTTAGTTAGAGGAGCTTTTAAGTCATTACCCACAACAACAGTAAAAATCCATGTTTTATACAGATTCTCTGATAGTGCTTCTTTAAAAAAATACCACAAAGGAAGAAATAAAGAATAACACATTCCAGTAGGCTTGGAAAAAGCTGCTTGACAGTGTTATGAAAAGTTTTATCAGAGTAAATAACCACGACAACCACGCCAATTTTCCATGGCTGTGCCCCAGCAGTCACGTGTCTGGTTTGTGCACTGCAGCCATTTACTTCCCCAGCAGAAAAGAGCTAAAAGTCAGCACCAACACAGTGCAGAGCATGGCATTTCAACAGCAACAGGGCTCACTGTGTCTCACATTTCTACCCAAGCTCATTTACAGGTTCTGTGAAACACAAGCTGAGTCACCCTGGGGAGGCTCAGCTCCTTCAAGCAGCTGTGGCTCCCCAGGCTGTCCCTGTCCCACTGCAGAGGCCTCTTCTCTTCTGGGTACAAATCACAGGGGGACAGTTCCATGGCAAGGCAACCCTGAGGCACAGAACCAGCAGGTCAGCCTGGCACTGCCAGCCCTTTAACCTCAGAGCCTGCTGCACTTAAAAGCACTTACTGCCACCTGAGCACTCTGGCATTTGTTCTACATCAAGTACAGGATGTCACTCCAGATAATTTAATTCAACCTGCACAATACCACGCAAATGAATCAATAATGCAGAAGTTGCATCTTACTCCAAAGATCTTACTCCAAGGATTTTATCTGCCCTTCTTATCAGCCCACCAGCCACACCAGGGACACCCACACAAGCCTGGCTGTTCCCAGACCAACAGCAGGCACTTGATGTGTAGAAAGGCTCCAGATGGAAAGGGGAACAACAGATCAAGTGGTGCTTTCAGCCTCTGCCCGAGCTGAGCATTGCTCTTTTAGTGCACCAGGCCTTGAGCAGGTTCAAGGTACAAGGATCCAGGCACAGGCTGAGCAAATGATTTACTGGCACAAAGCAGCCACGGCCACAGCGATGGGGACAGTGGCAGGAGTGAGTTACGTGACCTCCCCGGTGCTGGGGCAGCTGGCTCCTGTGTCCCTGCAGTGCCCATCTCCAGCAGCATGGAGAGGGGGACCTTCTAAAAACCAGCACCCACAGCATGGGCTGCAACAGGGCTCCAGCACAATCCCAGCAGCCTCCCCAGCACGGCCCCCCAGTATGGAGCTGGGAAAGATCCAGGGCTTACCAGTAGCTGTGAGACTTCCCAAAAGGAACCAACCCCAGGTTTCTCCCATCTCTGTCCAAAAGCATTGATGGCATATTTTTATGACTCACTATAAATCTCAGCACCATCATCTAGACTGGGATGAGAACACTAAAAAAGCAGTAATTATCCTGACAACCCCAGTAATTCCCCTCTTTTCTGCAGCGATGACCCCACGGAGCCACCGAGCACAAAGAGCCCTCAATGCCTTTAAAGCAATTCTCTCTCTTTTCTTTCAGGGTTTGAATAATGCCCTTTGCACCCCTGCCAGAGCAGAGGCGGTGCCAGAACGAGGACCACGAAGGTCAATGGCCAAGACTCAAACAATGCAGGAAAGCCCAGTGCCTGCTGCTGCCAAAGTGCATGCTGGCAGCATGTGGAATGGCCTGAGCTCAACAACAAAGAGGGCTGGTAATCAGTTTAATTGAAGACAAGCAGAAAATGATAGTGTGCATCTGAGATGGTTTTACTGTCCTCTAGCAGCTGACATCTTGTCTCCCGCTGGAAGAGGACACAAAATAACTCAGCTGGGAAGCTCAATGCATCCAGGCACCTTTCAGGGGAGCAGGCAGTGACAGGATTCCCTGTTGCTGCAGTGTGACACACACTACCTGCAGTACATCTGGGGACAGGAGAAAACATGGGAGAAAGACCTTGTAGAATGAGAAATAATTAGAAAACACATGTGACAAACCCAAACTGAACCCACACAGCAGTGTGGCAGCACAGCCAGGATCGGCATCTCAGACTCAGCTTTAAAGGTTGCTTCCCCCAGCCATGGGATGAGCTGGGAGCAGTCCCCAGCCCAAGCTGAGGGGGAACTAACATCCCTTCCTGTACCACAGCAACAACAGGGACAGGACAAACAGCTGTACTCACCTTCACTCTCCTGTTTCCTGAAGCCAGAGTGCAGATTTACAGATCTGATCTGCCTCAAAGCAGCAACCCTTGCACAGCTAAACCCAAGGGACAAACCATCAGCAGCAGTCAGACAGAACTGCTGACAAGAACAGAGAGCCACAGACAGTCAGGTGGATGAAGACTGGTGACAGAAACCATTTAAGGATCTGTGCACTGGAAAGGTTTAACTCATTTTCCACTCATAAAACACCAAACCACAGCATCTGGAACGTCACCAGGCACCAGCTCTTCCCAGAAAATTTTTAGCAATATACTGTAACTTAGATTTGATGTTCAACACATTTTTATCTTCCACAGAATGATGAAATCAGGTTCTGACTGGACATTTTAGGACCTCAAACACAGCATTTGGCTGGTTTGGTTCTGTTTGGTTGGTTAGTTCAAATACCTCAGAGGTTTCCTTCCTGTCAGCCAGAAATTGTTGAAGCTCCAAGCTGCAATCAATAAAGACAAAAACAGCCAGGTTTTGCTCTGAATAAGATGCAACATTCCCATCACAGCTATTTTCCACGAGAAGACTGTTGGGTTTTGATCCCATGCACACTGTGACACTGCAGCAAACTCACTGGGCAGTCACCTGCTGTGACATTCAGTCTCGGGTCATTTGTTCCTTTTTCTGCAGTCCCACTTGCATCAGGACAAGAAAAAATAACATTTCCCAAGATTTCCCAAAATGAGCTCTGCTCCCCCAAAGACACTCAGGCTGCATGCTGCACTCAAGCTTATCATTTTGCTGGGTCATCTGCTGCTCACAGCTCCTTCCTGACACCAGGTCACAGCCAAGGGCTGGCTGGGGACACTGACCCGAGGAGACCATCCCTGTCTGACAGGGCACCTCTGCTCCTGGCATGTCCCTAAGGCCTTTCTGAGGACACAGCCTGTAATCCAAACCCCACCAACCAGACTGGTGTGGCCATGGCACAGGTTTCCCAGAGAATTCGTGGCTGCCCCATCCCTGGAAGTGTACAAGGCTGGGCTGGACAGGGCTTGGAGCAGCCTGGATAGCGGAGGGTGTCCCTGCCCATGGCACTGGGTGGGAGGAAATGAGCTTGAAGGTCCCTTCCAAATCAAACCATTCTGGGATTCTCCTGCTGGAGCTGTCCTTAGGTTCTTCTGAAATGACATTTAACCCTCCAGTGCAGACACAGAGTGTGCCACAGAGCACTCACAGCAACGGAATTAGAAACTCCTCCAGAGCAAAACTACCTTGCAATGTGATACATCTGTCATTTGTAGGAGAAAACTCTTATCCAGGGCAGTTTTCACTACAGACAGGAGCTCAAATACAGAAACTCAAACTGTTCAGAGAAGAGCAAAACAAAACCCAGAATTATTTCCATGAGAGCAATGGGAAGATCAAAATTTTAAGATGAAGAACAGCATTAAAGCTGCATGGAACTGATTACAGGTCAGGCCAGTAATAACAACTGTGCTGAAGAAACACCAGCCATTTATCATCCCTGGCCTTACAAGCTCCACTGCATCCAAGCCACTCCTCTCAGCAACTGCTGCAGATCCCTTGTGCCAAGTCCAAGGGCAGCTGTCAGCAGGGTGCTTGAAGCTCCCAAACCACAGACACCCCCACCTCACCCACAGGGCTCCCCTCTTGCCTCAGAAGCACAGTGACATCCCTCACTGCCAGACACTGAGCACACAAGGTACTCTGGAGATATCTCTGTGCATGAAAACCCTCTGGAAAAGGCTGTGGTCATTTCATGTGGGTTTATTCAAAAGACAAAAAAAGTACCTTTTTTAGGTGGGGCACTCAGTCTACAAGTCAGAATTCCATGCTGCCTCCTGCACAGCCTGGAGAGATTTATGGCAGTGAGAAAGGAGTGTTCAAAGGCCAGGTTGGATGGGATTTGAAGCTGGTAGAAGGTATCCCTGCCCACGGAGCAAGACAATCTTTATGGTCCCTTCAAAGCATTCCATGATCCTACGAAACAAGGGCCCTCCTCCAGATGCTGTTGTCCTTCACAGCCACCTTGAAGAGAAACCACTCTTCCCCCCACCAGAAATGGAATTTTTCTTTCTGTCACTTACAGGCACACAGAGCAAAGCTCCCTCATAACACATCCATCCCTGCGGAGCCCCTGAGCTCCAAAGGCAGCCCAATCCTGCCCTGGTACCGCGAAGGGCTGGCTCCAGTCCCTCCCGGCAGGACAGGCTGCCCCTCTCTCTCCCAGCTGTCACACAAGATGTTTCTGCCTTACAAAATAAGGAGAAAAGGCTGGAAATGAGGTTGGAGTTGAACACATTGCAGTGTTGGCGTTTCGGCAAGAAGCCCTGTAATTCACGGCTGCAGACAGGCTGGTGGGCTCGGGGCTTTGGCCCTGCCCAGGAGGAGAGTGCGGGGCTGCAGAGTGAGGGGCTCGCTCGGGCTCAAGCACAGCCCCGCAGCCCCCGGGGCTGCGTGAGCAACGCCCCAGGAGCCCTCGCAGCCGCCAGCCTCGGCACAAGGGAGCTCGGATCAAAGGCGGC